AAGAGGTGGCCGCACAGGGAGTCTGCAAGAGTTGCGCCGATCATCGGCGGTGTCAACCGTTGAAAGCAAAGGCAAAGGCAGACCGGCGTTCACTCCCGAAGAATGGCCACAAACACAATATGAAGACTAAAGGTGACCGAGAAGTGACAGTAATTCCCATCGAAATCACACACGACTTGAATGGCCCCAAACGGGTCTACAATCTGTATATTGAGAGCAACGAGAGGGTGACCGTCAAGTTCTACAAGAGTCTCACATCCGATGGTGATGTCGATGGCAGCGATTGATATTTGTTTATTAGTTTATTGATTTTGTATTTTTATAGTATTTTCATTATTTCATACTTAATGTAAATCTTAAATTAATACGTTTTGTTAATATTTGAATAGTTTAATTACTTACCGTAATATTAATAGCTTTCATAGTTAGTTATAAGTTATAACTTATAACATAAATACTTTAATACTGTATAATGTATTTGATTTAACCCTAAAATCATAAAAAGTAATTTAAAACTTTCTAAAAAATAATAGAATATTCCGATATTTAGTGTTAATTCTTGGAATTTTAATTATTAACACGATTATGTATAATATTATTATACTATTATTAAAAATATTATTTAATTAATAATCTATAATGTTGTAAGATATCAATAAAAAATAAAATATTTTTTAAAACCTTTTTACAATTAATAAAAAATTACTCAATAACAAAAACGGAAATATATTGTAACGTTTGATATTTTTAACAGTTATTTAGATTTTTGTAAATATACATCAATATAATATTAAACTAAATTTTATAATTCTTACTAAAAGTAATTAATTTTATTGATTCAAATTTTATTCATAGAATTTATTTATTTATAAATTTATAAATATCGTACTTAGAAAATGTATGTTTTCTACTAAATCTCGTCTACCCTGATGATTGTGCCCCATATTTACAATAGTGATTGAAAGGAAAGGCTGTTTTGAATGAAAGGAAAACAAAACTTTTGTCTGAAACAAAAGCAAACTTTTAATTTTCTATCCGGATTGATTATTTATTAATTACAGTAATAATAACTAATTAAATATACACTATACATAAATTTAATTATAAAAATGAATTTAAACATAAAATTGGTCTTGTTTATTTTAATTATAGCTTTTATCGAAATAAACCAATCATTTGAACTGGAAGTTGATGTGTTTGAAAACTTAAATTGTAAGTTAATTTTATTTCATTAAGAATAATATTATTAATCTTTCTATTACTAAATTAGATTTTAATAATTTATCTCAATATTTGCGAAAACCCAAAAGTTTTTAAATAATCACACGTGTTTAGTTTAAATTAAATTAATAACTTTATTTAATAGAAATATAACTTATAATAGCTATTAATAATAAAATATTATACATATTATGTAATTATGGGATTTGTAATTAATGAAAGGTCTTAAGAAACAGTGTTTCGAGGAATTGGGATGTTTTTCGACCACAGATTTCATCGAAGAAATAAGAGATTTGTTGACTTCGAAGAAGAATTTAGTGGACACTGTAAAGGCGGCGCTCACTTTGAAACAGATCCTATCCATATGTCCTATGAATCCGATTCACATGAATGTCTCGTTTATCTTATTCACCAAACAATCCAACGAATCACAAGAATTCCCTTATAATGCGGATACGGAAACGCTTAAAATGAGCAAGTTCACTCCTGATAAACGCACAGTTTTTATAACACATGGATATACTGATTACTACGAGGAGTGTCCATCAAGTGGGGAATGTGCCTGGATGGCTGTTAGTATTTATTACCGATATAATTTCTATTGAATCAATTAAACATTTATGATTGACTTATATTTTATAGAAAATCAAGAATTATTTCTTAGAATACGATTACAATGTGTTTGCAGTCGACTGGAGAAGACCCGCAAATTCAATCAATTATTTCAACTCTGCATTCAATACGCAAATCGTGGGGGCAATGGTCGCCTATTTTATAAAAACACTGATCAATACATTTTCCGTGAAGACAGAGGATATCCAACTTATGGGCCACAGCTTAGGCGCACACGTATCGGGATTTGCGGGCAAACGATTCAATGAAACAAAGATCGGACTCATCACGGGATTAGATCCAGCGGGACCTGGGTTCAATTATGTGCGACTGGCCCCTAGTGATGCCAATCTGGTCACGGCTGTCCATACCAGTGCCGGAATAACTAAAGAGAGTATTTACAGAAATGTGAAATTGAAATTTATATATATAATTGACTGTCATTTTGGTGTTTAGTAAATGTTTTTTTAGGAGACAATCCGTTAGAATCGGTGCAGTTGTTTGGATTCCTGGGAAACACAGACCCATTGGCACACTTCGACTTCTGGCCAAATTCGGGTCAGTTTTCATTAGTTTTTATTAATGCAAATTAATTAATAACTGATGATAACTGTCCTATTAATCAGGCAATGGACAGCCCGGGTGTGAAAAAATATCTCAAGAATTTCTCAATGAAATACTGTCAAAAGGAGGGGGCGGTTAGTCATTATTATAAGCAATTTAAATAGAAATCAAATACATTTCAATTTGACTTTCAATTTAAAAGCACTGAAAGAGAGGGCCAGTTGTGACCACTCGAGAGCTCACGAGTTACCGACTGCTGAACAGGCGCTCCGACAGCCAGACTCGTGTCAAATGATTGGCTACCAGTGCGACAGTTATCTCGAATTTAAAGCTGGAGAATGTGGTGATTGTGGCCCTGATAATCAGAAATGCTACCCAATGGGATTCCTACCAGAATATTGGCCAAAACAATACTTTTTAGAAAATAAACCAAAAGTAGACTTAAAGAATTTATTCCTTAAGACATTGTCTAAACACCCATTTTGTCTCTTTCACTACCAAATTGTGGTAATCATTTCAATCATTTATATACCAGTTATGAAATACATTTTAAATTAGTATTATATTGAAGGTGTTAATGGAGGAGTCTGCATATGCCGGTGCCTTATCTATTAAATTTAAAGGACAAATTAAAACACTGGGTATTCTGATGCAAAGTGGTTTATTAGGCTTTAAGGCCGGTGTGAATTACACCCATTTATATACTGACAGTGAAAATGTGGGCCAAATATCGGAAGCAATTGTGACATATGATAGCAATATTATCGCAAAGTTTAATCCTTTGAATCCATTTGTCGGTCGAAAGGATAATGAAATTAAAATCGCCCAGATTGCTGTTAATTTTATGAGTCATATAGATAAAAGGTTTGATTAGTTATAATATTATTGATTTTGTTTATTGATTATTTATTTTATTTGGTAGCATTCGTGACAAATATTCATCAGTACTATATCCAGACTATGAGAATCCTGTCGATGAAAATACAGTTACTTTTCGCATAATGAAGTGAATAATGAACGTTTATCATTTATAACGTCCCATGATAAACTATAAACAAATTCACAAGTTTTAAGTATTAAGTTAATATATTTTTGTCTAAATTTCGATTCGGAATAAAATTAATATTTGGGAAATAATGGGAGCTTAGAGCTAAATAGCATGGGATCCCAATTTATTTAATACATTATTAATTAATATAGAGAAATTTGATCAAAGAAATTTTATAAATAAATAATTTAAATATAACAATTTAGAAATATTACATGTCAATCACTTTTATTTTATTAAATTACATAACTAGAAAAACGTATTTTATCGAGTAACTTCAGTTAAACCTTGTTTTTAAAAATGATCGATATTAACTAAATTATTGATAATTAAGACTAATTAAAGAGAATGAGCATGGAAAATTCTATGAAATTTCATACATATTTAAATACTGTATTTATAAATGTATTCATTCATAGAATTATCTATTCATAAGAATATCACAAATTCTATGTTTTCTAAATTACCAGAAAACACATGTTGTGTCTATAGGAAAGTTGTTTAATAAAAAATTATCAAATTAAAGCTAAATTCACGATCGAAACATTTAACAGTTAATTTTTGTCAAACAATTTTATTTCAAGACTCATATCGATTAAGTTTTTGATAATAGATTTCTAATATAATTTAAATTTATTTATTTTAATTTAATAACAGTTTAGAGCTTAAGAATCGCTTAAAATATGGCTCTTTTCATGAGAATTATACTTTTGAATTTAGTTATCATTTTCAGTCATAATGAAATCAATGCCTATTTTGAGGACGAACAGTGTAAGTATCAATTACCATAATAGATACTATAATGTACTAGATTATTCTCACCACACATTTGGTATTGTCACAAACATACTGGCGCTGTAATCTAAACACTATTATAATTAGCAGCAATCAAATGATTAACAAAACATAATTGAACTCTAGGTTTGAGTGAACACTGTTTCGATGAGCTAGGTTGTTTTGAGAGCGGTGACTTTGTGATTGAACAGAAAAAATACTTCCCACTCCTCGAGAAAGCAGTTAATGACATGAAAGACGACGAGTCTAAGCTGTGGAACAACCAGATGATGATATGTCCGGCCAATCCCGAGCACTCAGACGTCCAGTTTATGCTATTCACGCCCGACTCCAACCAAAGCGTTACATTCACATATAAACCTGACCCAAAAGTGCTTAATTCTACGAGCTTTTCGCCAGACAGAAAGACCCTGTTCATTGTGCACGGATACGTGGACGGCTATAAGGGGTGCGATGATTACGGGAACTGTCATTGGATGGAAGTATAGCTCAGTGTCATATATATTTTTATAACAGATTCATAATAACAGACAATATTTTGAAATTTAGAAAATCAAAAACTATTTCATCGCTTATGACTACAACGTGGTAGCCGTGGACTGGCATAAGCCGGCCGCTTCACTCAACTACTTTTACTCAGCCTTCAACGCCCGTATCATAGGAGCGATGATCGCCAATTTCATCAGAAGACTGGTCCAAGTGTTTGGTTATAAACCCAGTGATATTGAACTCATGGGACACAGTCTTGGCGGACAGATAATGGGCTTTGTGGGCAAACACTTCAACGAAACAAATAACACAATAGGGTTCATATCTGGCTTAGACCCGGCCGGCCCTGGTTTCGACACTTATAGCCTCGAGCACACCGACGCCGACCTCGTCATAGCTGTCCATACGAGCGCCGGCCTCTTAAAAGCTGGTTATTATGAAGAATTTATTTGAATTTATTTAATATGTCTTTCCATATACAGTGGATATGTCTGATTTATCAAGTTTCAATCCATTGGAAGTCATACAACTACAAGGGTATACGGGAACTGTCAGGAATGTTGGTGATTTTGATTTGTGGGTTAATGGAGGTTAGTATAGCTGTTTGTACAGTGTTTATAATTTATTGATTTAAATTATGATAATATTTCCAATGCATTTGTAATACGTTTGAAGGCAATGGACAACCAGGTTGTGAGACGACGTCCATAAGTTTCCTTAAGCAAGCCTTTGCTGCAGGTCCTGGCGGTACGGCATTGGATCACATTTAGAGACTATTTGTTTTCATTAGTATTTATATTACTCGTGAGTAGGCCTTTCCGACAATATGGCCTGTTCCCATATGAGAGCCACTGAACTGCCATCAGCTGAAAGAGTGTTGAGAGAGCACCGGGATGAGAAGGACACGTGCCAGTGGGTGGCCTATGAGTGCAGTAATTACATAGACTTCCTCCATGGTCAGTGCTATGACTGCGGCCAAGACGGTAAAAAATGTAAACTACTTGAATATATGCCGGGCTATTGGCTACAACCCAAAAATTTAGTGGATATCAAGAAAGGCTTTCCACAGAATCTGTATCTACAGACCCAGGCCACGCCTCCCTATTGTCTCTATCACTACATGATTGTGGTATTTATGATCACATCAATGATATTTAATTTGTCTCAAACAAAACTGCGTTGAATATACATATGTATAGCTACATACGTCCGAGGTGAAATATGTGGGCAGAATTAAATTCACACTCAATGGCAGAAAGAAAGTGGAGTTCGAGAAACCCTTTGAACTCAAATCCAAAGACCCAAATACATACAACTTCTTGTATACGGATAGCCACCATTTGGGACAAATCACTGAAATGACTATCGAGTACCATAAGACTATTGTGGGCTCTTTGGTTAAGTACTTGCAGATTCTTAGGCCCATGACTTTCATTCAAAGCATGTCTGCCAACGACATCACTATATCGGCCATTGATGTCATCTTCATGAGCCATATCGACAAAAGGTTTCATTTAATAGATTTTATATTAAGAAATACATGTTAATTAATGCATTTTTTATTTGGTTAGTGTTCGCGACAGTTATTCATCACAACTGATCCCAAACACAAAAGACATATCGGGAAAAGGATTCAATTTTATAATTAATAAGGATGAGTAAACATAATTTTAATATAAAGTTTACAACAAATACTATGAAATATTATCAAATAAAATTCATACAAGAATAAAATCTTTAATAAACTCGGTAAGTTTTACACAAAAATAAATTCAAAAATTGTAATTGTTTAATGCTTGCTAACTACAAGATAAATTTAAAATATATAAAATATGATGTAAGGGATACAATATCCTGAACATCTATGCTTATGCTGCATAATGAACATGCTAAACACCCAAATAATTATTGATTATTTCACTAATTTGGTGCACATTTCCAGTCAAAAAGCTCTTGTGATTGCCTTTCATGATATGTGTAATACATTTGCCGCTAATTATCTGTTTATGAAAAAATAAGACGGGTTATAAAACAGGTACAAAACACTACAATATTGATGAGAGATATAAAAATGCTTACTTCAGACAACCCGTAGTCATGTTTAATGAGATCCTTATTGTTAACGATGTTATCTTCGGCTCTAATCAGTAGCAAATCGTTTGCAAACTTCACTCCATTCTCATACTGACAGCTATTATTATGAACACTATATGTGTTTAACATCAACAGCTTTGTCGAAAAACTCTTGGCTATGAATTCAATGCTATCTTTAGTCACACCATTCACTTCAATGGTCTTCTGCATTGATTTAACAAATATTTGCGACACCTTTTCCACCCTTTCCTCTAACGGCGTGTTTTCCAACACTTCTCTAACACTCTTGTAATCCACACAAACGTATTGCACGAGGAATGCCATCAAAGTCTCCAATTCCTGACTCTTATGGTCAGACAATTGATATTTTTTCATCACTTCTGTGGCGTATATACCGAACTGAACGGGCGATGAGTCTAATAGTATAAGTTTCATGCCAGTGGTGGACAGTTGTCTTTTCTGTAGCAACACAGCCATCTCATAGGCAACGCATCCTCCAAACGAATAGCCCATCAAATCATAATTATTGTCCAAATCCTTTAGCTTATCGTCGATTACATTGAGATAGTGTTGCGCCGTGTCTTGGATTGTCTTAATATCTCGACACTCACGAGTCCAATTGATACCAATTACTGGTCTATTCATATTATCGGCCAATTGTCTCAACAAACTATACGAACCATCCAATGGTGGCAATAAAATAACAGGTTTTCCAGCCTTTTCCTCATTGATATACGAGATACTGTCGGCCGGAACTGTAAACTCAAACTCATTGCCAGGTGTGCTTTGATTTTCATCAGATTTAATGCATTTATTGTCAACATTTTGATGATTCTGTTGGTCAATGGCAGCGATCCGGCTCACAGTCAAGCGTCGTATGTCTTCCATATTGAGGATACAGTTGTAATCCCTTTCCAGTGTCTGCTTCACCTCCACTGACATCAATGAATCCATTCCCAGCTCTCCTAGTGTTGTATTCCTATCCAAACTCGTGTGGTCTTTGAGGCCCAGTATATGTGCAATCGTTTTCATAAGATTACCCTTTTTATTGGTGGCGTCAATCTTGTGGTCAGCCCTCACTACACTCGACATGACTGAGTGTTGCTCCTGAAGGCAGTGGTCAAGTGTTGACAAACAAGAGTTCATGCGTTGGGGTAATGTTCCGCCGATTACTGTCTCATTGCCGCCCATAGTCTCGGCCACAACTCCCACATCGCCGATAGCACCCCATTGGATGGCCAGTCCGTGTAATCCCTGCGCCCGACGCCTTTCGCAGACTCTTTCCATTACAGAATTGGCGAACCCATAGTTACTTTGACCGGAGTTCCCGCGCCCACAGCTTATGGACGAAAAGCATACAAAGTAATCCATTTGTGGACACAACTCACGACACACGACATCCAGGTTTCGAGTGGCCTGTGCTTTGGGGGCCAACACTTTCCGAAACTGTTCTGCTGTTTGGTTGTCAAAGAGGGCGTCCGACAAAACCATCGCTACGTTGAATACACCGCCCACTCCTCCCTTACCACGGCTAAGGGCCAAACGCAACAACTCTTGAGTTTGTGTTAAATCCGAAACATCTTTTGTTGATATCTTAACAGTGGTTCCTATGTCTTCAAAATGCTGGACACGATATTTCTGATATGAGTCGCGCAAACCTTGTCTTGAAGTAAGAATCAGACTCCTGGCCCCTCTCTCTACCATCCAATTGGCTAACTCTAGTCCAAAGCCACCCAACCCGCCGACTATTATATAAGTTTTATTACTTTTGAATACAGTTCTGGGCGTTGAGTCATAAGTTAGGACCTGATCTGCAAAGGGATTAATTTGCGGATCTGTCTCTTCGTCTCTAACTTTGAGCACAACTTTCCCGATGTGTCGACCGCTGGCCATAAATCGAAACGCCTGTTCCACTTGTGAGCACTCGAATACTGTACGCTTGAGGGGCCGAACGGTTCCCTCTTTGATGCCCTCATCAATGAGACGTCGGAGCAGTGCTTTGTGTCCATTCAATTGTGGCGTACATTTGGACTTATGGGCGAACATACTGTCCAACAAAATGCCGTGAAATGTCTTGTTTCTCAGAATCATCGCCAGACCTATAGAATAGTCAATAAAAGTATTATAAGTAATTTTATAGCAGAATATTCTTCAACTTCTAATGACATGTAATACTGACCCAACTCATTGTTTTGTGACAAATCATATTTTCCAATCTCAAGGAAACGGCCGTTTGTGGCCAAACACCTAACACTGGCCTGCAGTAATCGTTCGGACAGAGAGTTGAGAACGATATCCACTCCCCGGCCGCCCGTCTCTCTCATAATCCATGGCTCAAAACTGGCGTCACGTGATGTGCAGAAGTTCTTCGGCGACAATTTGGGTGCGAACTCATCGATAAGAAACTGTCGTTTGTCGGCCGAACCACAAGTGATATATAGCTGACAGTCCAGCGCCAGACATATAGCAATAGCCGCCTGTCCCACACCACCACTGCCCGAGTGAATCAGTACGGATTCGCGGGCTTTGAGTTTACCTCTTATCATAAGCGCATAATAGGCAGTGGCGTAGACCACAGGCACTGTCGACGCCTCCTCCATCGACCAGTGCTGAGGCACCGGCCATACAAACTCCTGGTCGTCCATCACCAGTGTAGTGGCCATGGCTTTGGCCCCAATCATACCCATCACACGATTCCCGTTCTCATCCCTACCGGCGAACTCTAAACCAAGAATACACTCCTGGAGTGCCATATCCTCGGGCAGTGCATCGGCTGATAGTTTTCCTGTCATTTCGTATAATTCATTAAAATTTTATTCATTTAATTACACTATTTTCTACTGACCGGTGGCTAACATAATGTCTCTGAAATTGAGTGCCGAGTAATACACAGTGCAGAGTGTCTGGTCGTGTGTGCGACCTAATGGCCAGTACTTGTGGTGGGCTTCAATCCACCTAAAACTGGACAAATCGCCTCTAGTCTGCACATTGAGGTAACAGTGCTCTGCCGGCACTAAACGCCGGTCGGAATCGCAACTAAAATGCCTAAAATTACCGCATTTGTAGCCATCGGTGAACACATTCATCACGAGATTCTTCTTAACTATACTATCCATGAGTTTTGTATTAATGATAGCATTGCTCTCCAAACACCGGTTATTGTCATTAAAATTATAATTAAAAATACAACGAATTCTGTGTCCGTTCGGCTCTTTTCGCAGACAATTCACTAAACCTATGACACCATTGGTTGGGCCGTCGGTGGCCATCAGCCATACATTCTCGCCGTCAGGTCTGCTCTGAATGTCTCGCAATGTCTGCTTCAATGTGTCGATCCATAGATCACACGTGTCTTCGCTTATTGTGATAAACGTGTGTCTCTTGAGATCAATGTTTGAGTGGACGCTCTGTTTACGCAAAATCATTGACGACTTTGTGATGAAACCGTCGATGAGTTTAGTGGAGATCAAAGTGAAGCCGACTTTTTCGGCTGCGCTAATAATATCGGCGTTTCTTTCGTTCACGAGTTGTGTATAACTCTTATCAATAGTAATGCTATTATTGTTGTTATCATTACTTATATTAAGAACATTTAGCGCCACTTCTTCGGCAAAACTAAGTTTATGTTTGAAAACAATTATTAGAAAAGCATTGTCTTTGAGACCATTCCAGAGGGACTCGAATAATATATGAAGATTGAGCGGTGTATCTGCCGGTGCTATCAGACTATAGCCTCTGTCTTCATATATAATTAAATCCAAGCCATTAATATCCGGCGGTAGTCTTGATTTCTCGACTAACCATTCATGACATTCAATACCACTTAACATCTCATTAGGTAACTGATGGACCCGTGGGTGCAATAACTGGTAATTAACCCTAACATTTGTATTTGACATATAACTCAACAATTTGAGTACTGTCTGTGCCATTGGATTACTACCGGCGCTGCACTGACTCACTTCCAGTACATTAAACATGAGATTATTGTTAAAAACGGTATTTTCTATAATTGTTTCCAATTGTGAGCGTATAATGTATTCACTATTAATGTAATACTTATTGAGTATATCGTTATCTAAAGTATTCATAAGTTTTACTTTCAACTCATGTCTTAAAGTATCATCAATTGAATTGCTTTTCATTGAACTCAAATCCATTAATAAGTCAAATAAACAGTGATTTTCCGCTTCATTACCGTTGATATCATTAGTCGAGATCTGCTGTTGAGAGTCAGTCTGTGATGTCAACTCCAGTTCCACATTGAGCTCAGGATTATTGAACTTTTTTGCCACTTTGATTGCCAGGTCATTGCAATCCATAGCATATTTATAGAGATCACGATTGTCATCATCATCCCTAAGCTCGCAAATCTCATCGTAGGGCACGAATCGGTAGCTTTCAATATGAGGTAAGTGTGTTGATAGACGTCGGGGCGCTATTATAACTCAACAATTTGAGTACTGTCTGTGCCATTGGATTACTACCGGCGCTGCACTGACTCACTTCCAGTACATTAAACATGAGATTATTGTTAAAAACGGTATTTTCTATAATTGTTTCCAATTGCGAGCGTATAATGTATTCACTATTAATGTAATACTTATTTAGTATATCGTTATCTAAAGTATTCATAAGTTTTAGTTTCAACTCATGTCTTAAAGTATCATCAATTGAATTGCTTTTCATTGAACTCAAATCCATTAATAAGTCAAATAAACAGTGATTTTCCGCTTCATTACCGCTGTTATCATTAGTCGAGATCTGCTGTTGAGAGTTAGTCTGTGATGTCAACTCCAGTTCCACATTGAGCTCAGGATTATTGAACTTTTTTACCACTTTGATTGCCAGGTCATTACAATCCATAGCATATTTATAGAGATCACGATTGTCATCATCATCCCTAAGCTCGCAAATCTCATCGTAGGGCACGAATCGGTAGCTTTCAATATGAGGTAAGTGTGTTGATAGACGTCGGGGCGCTATATTGGCTTTAATACCTCGAAACTCCAACCCATGCGCTACTCCAATGCCGGTGTAGGCGTCAAAAAGCACCGGCATATCCACTAATTCTGTGTCAACGGTTGATAATTGCTTGGCATTTAGTGTCAGCACTCTGGGATCACATCGCAGACTATCTATACGCACCGGGAGGTAAAGGCCGCGTGACTTTTGGCCCAAAATAATCATTTGTATCATAGAGTCGGCAAATGTGACCCAATTATTAGCCCATTTAATGGATGCACGCATACAATGACCGCCATTTGACACCACTTTGGACAGACATTGAAAGTTTGAGCCGTAATCGTAACCTCGAAGTCTTAACTCTTTGTACACATCTTTGGTATTAAGTATGAGATCTCTTTCCTCATCGAAATATTTACTACTTTTAGCCAACTCTTCATCTTTTAATATGTATTCAAACTTTTGGTACGGTTTTTGAGCCGCAGATATAGTCCCGGTTACGGCTACTGTTCCCGATTCAGTGATAACAAACTGACCACTTGTTTCCAGTATATGAATATCAAATTTGGTGACACCTACTTTGGCCAGTATGGTAGCCCTGTGCAGGTGAACGTTGGAGAATTCAATGGGCAACTCATCGTAACTAACGTTCATCTGTTTAGCAAATTGTTTCCACACCAGCATTAGGTAACCGGTGGCCGGGAATAGCACCCGACCATCGATGCAATGATCCGACAGATATGAGTCCTCCTTATCCTGGAATTTAAAATTATTTCTAATTATAAAATTATTTTATATTTATTTTATGTTTATATATAGTTTGCAACTGACTTTAATGAGCTTAATGTAATTATACAGCTACTTTTAATATTTATACTAGTACCGGAGTATACTAGTACTCATAAGAATATTAGCAATCATTCATGACTATAGTCAATCATAAATTAACATAAGGTTTTGTGCTATATTTGTGATATTTTTCATGTACTGTGTTTATTTTTATATATGAACGGAATATTGAGTAGAATTGAATTTTGATAATAATAATAATAATATGATGACTACAATAACTTAGCCTTTAGAGGGATCTTGTATTACTTCTTATCGATTGAGAATTTATTATTAACAATAAGTATGAGTTAAGAAATGTTGAGTTGAAACATACACAATGCATCATTAATAAGATATTATTTGTTATATAAGAGTTGATTCTGATAACAAAAAGTTTACAAAGATTTTGAGACAATAATCTAACCTTTCTAAGCATTTACATTATAGAGAATTCTGTTGGGCTTATAATTCTATAAATACAGTATATCCGGTTCACAATGTCATCATAATTAAGAGTATCATTTAACAGTAATACACTACCTAATCCATATAATGTGCTGTACAGATGTACGGTACTAATATTAATGTTATAAATAATTTACAAGTACTGTACTGTATAAATTGATAAACGTATTAAATAACATAATAAAAGCAATAATTTAAACAAATTCACCTGTAAGTCAATCTTGACGGCAAAGTCTGTGAAACCGATTGGATTAAAATAATTGGGATACTGATGGACAGTATAGGAATGATTGTGTTTCCATTTAATGAGCGGTGAAATGGGTGGAGTTCCCCTCGACACCGGATACTCAACCCGGGGATATAAGCGCTCAATACATGGATTTGCAGCACCTGTCGCATAAAGTTTGCCAATACTTTGCAATAAAACGTCCAAATTATTAGCATTTTTTCTCATGAGAGGAATATATGTCATTTGAATGCCCAGACTTTTCTTGAGTATTGGTTGCAGTAAGTGATGCGCCGACACCTCCACCACTACCGCATCACATGGTATGTGTTTGAGTGCGTCGGCAAACAGCACCGGTAGTATGAGGTTATCAGCAAAATATTCAGCACATATAGACCCAGATTCTGGATTGTTTTGCTCGTATGTAGTGCTGACCCATCTTTGGCTCTTCGGCCTATTTGTGGGCAATATTTCCTTTAATTTTTCAATTAATGGTTCCCTTATAGACCACATCAACGGACTGTGAAATGCAATGCCGGAGCTGTTGACCGGACGGGCCAACACGTCCTCGTAATTCAATTGCTGTACAAACTTCTCGACCAAAGTGTCGGCGCCAGAGATGGTTACCGAATCTTCAGAGTTATGACACCCTATGGATACCTGATCAGACATTCGGCGCTTGACTTCAGGTAGAGTGAGTCCGACGGCAGCCATTGAACCCCTACACCTCGGATCATCTTTAACATACTTTCCCCTCCAATAGGCTATTCTAATGCACTCTTCAGCGGTGATACAGTGGTCGGCATAAGCGCACACCAGTTCCCCTATGGAATGACCTACTATTCCGTCGGGTTTGATGTTGAGTGCCTCGAGTACATCGACTAATGCTATTTGAATGGCAGTTAACGCTATGAATGAATTAAGTGGACATTGGATTAGATCTTCATTTTTATCCAACAAAATACTCATTAAATCGATTCCGTATTCGTTCAGTATATTAGCCGATAATTTCAATGAATGGGCGCACATCTCAATGTGCATTAAATCCCTGGCCATTGCCGGCCACTGACTACCCATACCAGAAAACACAAACCATAGTTGCGGTCGACATTTATTAACTTTATTCACATGAATGCATTTGCTTTCTATACTGTTATGATTTTTAGTCAAAAGTGTGAAACCTCTGTATTTCATGCCCGCAAACCCTGTGGTGTCGGTGCGATAGGCACTGGTCTTTGAAATATCATTAATTAGGGCCAAAAAGTCGCGGCCAAGCATTGTCTTGTTGTTAACGATGTGCGTCAGTGCACTCTGGAGTGTCTGTTCAGTGCGGCCGCACATCATCACAAGTCTGGGCACTTCACCCACAATAATATCCCGGTTCTCATCGGCCGGTTGTTTACTATCCGCGCGTACAATGACGTGAACGTTGACCCCTCCGAACCCAAAACAGTTGAGTCCGGCTAATGGACTGTCAAACGCCGTGTTCTCTGTGATCGGCTTTAATATACCGGAGACCAGGCCTGGGATGCTGGGGTTGGGAGTAGTCATGTGAAGATTGGCGGGAATGCATTGCTTCTCAAATGAAAAGATGACTTTCGTTAGAGAGCACAGACCGGACGACCCCTCCGTGTGACCAATGCTTGACTTCAGAGCGCCGATAAGTAACGGCTCGGTTCTGCCTGTGCTTTCAAATCACACGATTAGATGGATAGGCAAATGAATGGCTGAATAACATACCTGTGCACATGGCCGCCTCTATCGCTGCCATCTCGACGGGATCGCCCGCCTGAGTGCCGGTGCAGTGCGCCTCCACGTACTTCACGTCCAACGGATTAACACCCGCCTCGCTGTACGTTTCTCTCATTAGAGTGGCCTGTGATGTAGTGGACGGGTATGTGATTCCCAACTCTTTAAAGCCATCCGTATTAGTCTTGGTGTGCATAACCGTAGCGTAAATACGTTTGGCTACACCCTTGCGCTGTAATACCAGTGCCACACAGGCCTCGCCCTTCGCGTAGCCGTTGGCGTCGCTGTCCAGACATTTGCAGTGGCCGTCCGGTGATATCATATTTAACTTATAAAACTGCAATTGTGTGGTCGCTCGTAGGGACATATTAACGCCCACCACTATAGCCGTATCGCACTGTCCACTCCTCAGAGCGCCCATAGCCTCGTGAAGGGCGCAGAAACTGGAGGCGCAGGCCGTGTCCAACACCATCGACGGTCCCGTGAAGTTGAATGTCTGTGCGATGCGACCGGCGAAGTGTTGCTTATAGCCGACCACTTTGGAGTAGTCCTCGGCCTGAGCACTGGGAGCCTCATCGAAACAGCTGCCGATGAACGTGCCGGTGCTCGTCCCACATAACACATTGGGATCCATACCTATACAGTGGGAGTTAATTAGTATACGTATTATTATATCATTAAATGAGTAAATGTATAGAAATTGTGAAGAAATATTAATTATATTTCTAATTTTAGTATTNAGAAAAAATATTTCAAATGCTTACCTTTAGTTTGTTATTAAGTTTAATGGCATAATAATTAGCAAAGCTAAAGCTCGACAGTGATTTAAATGTCAGTGAAATGCCTTTATTAATATCAGATGCGATTAAATTTAGCAAGAACAATAATAATAGATTGAAACTAGCAAATAAAATATAAATTAATCTCATTATAGCCATTGAATTCTCGAAAAATATCAATTGAACCGCCAGACTATTAATAGGATGAAATGTATAACATATTATAAAGTACACATGTTTCCAGAACCTATTATGTAACTCAATATCCAGGCAGAGTTTGTTATGATTTATAATAACTTTATTTAATATCTTTTGCCTCAAAAGCAATTTTTTCGATTCGGTTCTCATTATAAAAGCTTTGAAACCTTTTATACGGAATTGTAAATAATAGCAGACCATTAGGTAATAGAAAATTGAGTAAAACATGGACGGGAGCACCGATAGTGGGAACAGTAGGTAGATGACCGCAGTTAATAAGCCATAGATTACTAAATCCGATGAGAAGTAATTCAAAGGTATTATTATACAAATTAATAATATGGATGAAAAGAAAGTGAATTTAATATTTATATTAATGATTGAATAAATAATCTTGATCCTTTTAATGTAGCTGTCAATCAAACACCTATCGTATAAACCAATTGATTGAAAAGCTTTGTTTCCATTTATAGCACCGATTATGTCAAACCATTTATAATCAGTTTCATTACTCGTATTTAATATCAAGATAAGTCTTAGGCTTAATATATGCATTAAAATACAGCCGATGTATACAAACTCCTTAAAATCACTCCAATATTGCAAGAAATCCAAGTAATAAAGTGGTAATCGTTTCAATGGTTCACTTTTATAGAAATAAAATGCATAACGAATTATATTTAAAATTATAACTAAGATTACTGCCAATACTTTAGAAATATGTAGAAATAATTGTATGTTTGAGATATTTTTGTCGTTTATATTGAATCTACAAAATATCCAATATTTATACAGAGGTTTTTCGATATTTGATAGTTTTGTAGGACTCATGTTGCTTAATTCAAACTATTAAATCTGTAAAATTTAATAAATGCTTATTAATACAATAATATAACAAGACAAGAATTGGTGTAATTAAAATATTATAATATTTTTATCTGTTAAACTTAAAAATTAAAATACTAATAAAATTCATACTATAGTTTTCTGTATACTATTCTGACAGTGAAATCAAGTTTGTTAATTTCTAATTAATATAAGAAATATTATGAAGTTATAAGTTCTTAATAAATTATAAGTTGTAATTAATAAAAATATATATGATAATTAGCTAAAATTCATCATTTTAATTATCATTTTAATCATCATCATTAAATTATGTTCACAATGAAGATTACTCAAAAAACTTACTTCTACATAGACTTCTGTATATGACATAAACTCAATGTACAGTACTCTACATCTATTATAATTCTTTATTAAATTACTAGATATGTAAATACATTAACATACACTTAATGTAATTATGTTGAATCTACATTGCACTGCAAATATTATATGCACTCGTTATACAATTAATACTAAAATTAGAAATATAATTAATATTTCTTCACAATTTCTATACATTTACTCATTTAATGATATAATAATACGTATACTAATTAACTCCCACTGTATAGGTATGGATCCCAATGTGTTATGTGGGACGAGCACCGGCACGTTCATCGGCAGCTGTTTCGATGAGGCTCCCAGTGCTCAGGCCGAGGACTACTCCAAAGTGGTCGGCTATAAGCAACACTTCGCCGGTCGCATCGCACAGACATTCAACTTCACGGGACCGTCGATGGTGTTGGACACGGCCTGCGCCTCCAGTTTCTGCGCCC